GTTACCCAAGAGGATGAGGCAGAAGAATCACTTGAACTTGGGAGGCAGAGATTGCAGTGAGCTGAGATTGCTCCACTATATTCCAGCCTGGGTGACAAGAGTAAAAATCTGTCTCAAAAAAAAAAAAAAAAAAAAAGAAAGACACAGAGTTAGAGCAGAATGGAAATGTACATCCAGTCTTCCTAACTCCAGAGTCTATCATCTAGCTTCTCAAACTTGGTTAATTTCCAAAGCAGGAAAAGCTGGACATCCCATTGTCCAATGGAGTAGGTAATCTATGTATGAATAATAAACAATACAGTAAAAGAAACAAACTCCATTTAAAGAAAGTTTACATCAAGTGTGACTGGGATTACAGTTTCTAAATGATGTGACTAAAAAGATTGCCAAAATGTGACCCAGTTAGACGATCAGAGCAGGCATGGTTTTTAGGTTCTGATATTTTCATACTGTTTAAGGACATTCCGGAAACACAAAGCATGATAGAAAGGTCTTGACAAGTCAGCAGTGCTAAGACATCAGTATTTAGTTTCAATTCTAACTGTAGGAAAAGCCCACCATGAGGGACTCTATGTCAAATAAAGCAGACAAATTGCATCCTCATGGATGAGAAAAGGAGAGTTTAATCTGGCAGCAGGGTACGAGGGCAAATTGCAGGTGATCATCTGTAGTTAGGAACAGCAGCTAAGAGGAAGCTGTCATCACCTGGTCATACAAGTTGGACTCTTCTCAGTTGAATGGGAACATTTTTCATTCTCAAGAGGCTTTTCCCAGTTAACTTTTCAAGAATTTACACTGGGCCTTAGGGCTTGAATATTATGGTCTTGGCTCAAATTTACTGCACAAGCATTTCTGCAGAAGCTGGGATCTACGGTGCACACTCTATCTTGGCTCAATGTCTGCAATGAGATTAAATGGCACTAGATAAATAGAAACAAACTAAAGGGACTATCACTTGTTTAGAAAGATCTAAAATTTTAATAGGTTCTAATAAAATGTGTATGGAGAACCAACAAGTTCTAGTGTTGCCTACACTTGTGCCATTTTCACCTCTAGAGGGGCTGCCACTAACTAGTCCAGGCCCAGTGTGCTCATGTGAGCCCAGCTCAACAGTGTCCCGAGGTTCCTTCCTGGACTCACCCCACTGCATTCTGCTCACTCTGTAAAACAACAGTAGCAATCTAGATTTCATTTTTACTCATCCATGCGCAGTTGTGTGATTTTACTGTTACATACATTTGTAAACCACAGCCCCTTCAGACACAAATTGGAAGCTCACTGAAAAAATACATATAATTCTTATATATATATGAAAGCCAAGAGAGAATATACCTGTGTGTGTATGCATTTTTATTCCTCTGTTTCCAAGGTTTCCATTACAATAGCAGCTACTAATTTGTTGAAAAAAGGGAAAATATTCATAAAGAAAAACAGATGAGAATAATAGATTAAAAAACCCTCTACCTCATATTTTCTTTTGGTCATTCTTTTTTCATATAATATCGCTGGTAGACAACCTACTATGATATCTTTTGCAAAAATCCACTGAAGTAAATCAATACAATAAAGTTCAAGAGAGACTCCACCTCTGTAAAATATAGAGTAGATTCCATGATCTCTAAGATCATTTTCCCAAGCCCTCAACTTTTAGTAGTCTTTGCAGTATTTGACCAATAAAGTTGTCATATATAAGCACCTAACACAATTGTTGAGTCACACAAATACAACAAAAATAAAATAAAAGAGTTCAAAAAAAATCCAAAAGTTAAAGGATGTTAAAATACCTCTAAAATATCTGGAAATTAATGTTGGCCAGCTGACTTTAATCATATGTGATAAAATACTGCGTGTGGTTGTATAGATATACTTACAAAACTCTATTTTGATCTGATTTTAAAAGACACTGGACATTATAGTGACAAAAGTTTAGTTTGAATTATATGAGTAAATAAGATTAACTCATTGACTCAACTGGCATTCAGAATAAAAGATGACTGGATGTGATTGTTTGTACACATATCATAGATAAAATACAGGGTAAAAGGGTGGTACACGTGACTCCTCTGTAGAGCAAGTGCCCCGCAGCCTCCACGCCACACAGGCATTTGACAACAACTGAGCAGTGTGATTTTCCTGTAAGAAAAGCAAAGATATGGAGGAAAGCTATAGAAAGGTGACATATTGTCTTCAGATTCTTAGAAGGCTGGTGTTCAAGGTGCTCTGAGTAAATGTGTGATGTAAATGAAGGATTTTGAGAGGAAAATGGTGGAGGGTAGGTGAGTAATGCATTGACTATGAAGGGCTTTGTATGCATGCAAAGGAGTCTCAGGCTGATAGGATACTCTACGCCAAAGAAGAGTTTTAATAACACAGAAGACGAGGTGAGTCTGGGGTTTTATACAGACTATCCCAGGAAAGAAGAGAGAAAAGACAATCATAACGCCACTGCAACAGTCAATGACAGGCCCTCAAATGCTGTTTTGTTAGAGTGCCTAGAGCAACCATTTGTTTCTCCTTCCCAGTGGAAAAAGAATTCAATGATAAATAAATAAGTAACAGAATCGGTTTTGGAGTAGGGGTGTGTTTGTCTACGGGTGTGCGTGTATGTGTGTGTGTGTGTGTGTGTGTGTGTGTATTTTTGCTTTCACAATAGGGGCAGGGATGACACATATTGAACCAGATCACAAGCATGTCTTAAAGTATAGGCATTTCAAAATCAATAAAACATAAATAATTATGGTGCAGATATAAATAATTAAAACCATAAGATTAAGCAAATAACCTATAACAAGCTACATTAATCTTGATTAAACAAACAAGTTTATAACAAGAAAGTCAAACACAGCGAAAACAGAAAATCACAACCAACCAAAGACAATCAATTACAAGTTACCTTTCCCCCAAATTCTAGCAAATCTAATTACCTGCCTGTGAATACACAAAATACTCATCTTGTAATACTGCCAACAACACATGGAAGTCAAACTTCTTAAGAAAAATTGAATTAAAGTATTTGGAAAACCCTAATTGCATTAATTTTTGCTCAATTTCAAATCTGGAACTCTTAGTAACTCCCACTTAATAACTTACATAAGAATGAAAATCTAGAGAATGCCACATTATTTCCTGGGAGAAGTTAGTATTAATTGAGCACATACTATGGAGTAGGCAGTTTTTGAATTCTATCCATTCATTTATTTCATTTAATAATTATAAATTCATGAGGTAGATATTAATATTATCTTTATTTTATAGATGAGGAAACTGAGGTATAGAGAGGCACACACTAAGCAAGCTTTAAACTGAGATTCAAAGCCCAGCATTCTGACTCCACTTTTCTCATTTTTAAGCACTAGTTTATACTGCTCTAGAACCTCCATTTTTAGATTTATCCTAGGCTCATCAGGAGAACCTGTGCAACTCACTAGCAGACTACAGGCCACATTCTGAGAAGCATCTGTAACTATGATGACACCTCAAAATAATGCAATAGCATTGAGAAGATGCACTGGGGTCAAAGCATTGGGGGTCAAAGATAGATTCTGGAGAATTAAGAAAGAGAACCAGCAGGACACCTGGTGACTGTTTATATGTGTGGATTGAGGAAGGGGCCAAGAGGGAGCAGAGTCTGGAATGGCAACTTTGGAAGCAAACAGAAACTACAGTAGAAAGAGCAAGTTTTTGGCTTGGGATGGAGGTTGGGTTTGATGCATAGACTCTGGGATGCTTCTGAGACATTCAGGTAGAAAATCCAGCTGGGTAGAGTGACAAAGGAGCAGACAATGCTTGGAGTGGAGTGAAGAGAGCTGTCCCTGTACCTGCAATGCTGGTCCATGCCTACCCCAGAGGAAATCGTTCACACATGAGGAAGTTACTGGCTGAGGGATGGATGTACAGGGGTGTACTGGGGGGTTCACATAAAGTGAGAACTATCTCCGTGACATGCTGGGGTGTAAAACCAGGGAGGATAAAAAGCAAGACCGAAGGAAACCACAAAGTACAAATGCTGGCACCCTTCCCTACTTGGAGTCCCCCACATGGTGCTGACCATGGTCCCCTTCATTCTACAGTCTTGGGGTACTGGTCCTATCTGTGCCAATACATTGTCGGCTCCAGAAGGGCCTTCATCTCTTTGATTTTGTAGTTTTTGAAAAATCTAGCACAATGTAGAACTCTTTATCCAATTATTTAGTCAGGGATTCTTCTCATTTTTACAAGAAGTCCTTTGAGGCCTAAGGTTCAAGCATCATTAGGCTGGCTGTGTGTAAGATATCCTCATTAATAGAAAAGCATTCTAGCTTAATCCTAAGAAACCAACGGGAGGGAAAGAGAAGCAGTGAGGGAACAAAACAAACATGAGAATGGAGAACACTTGCACTTGTGTCTGGAACTGGTTATTAGTCATGTCAGCCTAATCAGATCAGAGGACTCCTTCAGACAAAAAAATAAGGTATTTTGGGTTGAGGCTCATTAAAATTTAGAGTGGTTAATTTCCTCCTTAACTTTAAGTAGCTAGAAAGTCAGAAATGATAAAGATGTGAGTAAAGTAGAGGCTTTTAAATTTTTTTATAAGCAAAAAAAATCTGAAAATTGTTGGAAGTTAAAATATTTTAATTTTCCAAAAGACTTTGTATAGTCTGTCCTATAAAATAAAGATCAGATATTTAAAAAAAAAAGATGAACTTGTTAAAACCGATGACCAAAATTAGATGGATTTAGATATGCTAGCTCAGTTTTCCAAACTCAAATGTAGAAAATAAAGATTCCTGTGGAAAACACTATCAAAATAATTTTTTAATGATTATCACTTTTCATTAATATAACACATGCCCTTTGAGGCTTAATTGTAAATAATTGGCTTTCAGTGTAGCTGTAGTGATGATTAATTCGCCTATGTGATATTTAGCTCTCAGACGTCTATAACGGCATGAATAAGCAACAGTATGGCTGGAAATCAGGCTAAGGATTTAAAGGGCAATGACAAAGAGCAAAGTACTCACGCTGCGGCACTTCCAGAGGATGCCCTGTGACATCACACCATCCGATCGGGTGGATGTCAGGGCTGTCTGCCTCCACCCAGTAGTCATACTTATGGTCCCAACCATCAAAATGAACCTGTTAAAATGAGTTTCAAATGATTACTATTTAGTAATTAGTATTTCACTATTCCTGTATCGAAATATTTGAATACAGATATCTGAAGCTGAGATTGAAATTTTATAATCACACCTTGCAGTTGAAATAATATTTAAAATGTGCCATTCTACAGCCTTCTAATCCAGCCAACAAAGGCGATTGTACCAAATTTTCAAAGAAATTAAAGAGGTTGGTAAAGAAAAAAATTGTCAGGGATTGATTAGAATTTGAAGAGGTAAGCCCAATCCATTTTCTCAACTAAGACAAATACTGGAATGCTGTTGAGGGAAAACTCTTTGTCCTGAGTAACTGTCCCATTAACCACTTCAAGAACCATGTCAGCATCATCAACATTAAGCGTCACCAACTTGACATTAGTACAAGCACTACACTGATGGGAAATGCACAGATTAGAGTATAAAGAAACAATCAATCCCTAAAACCTCACAAATGAGAGATGGGCCCATTGGAACAATGGAGGCAAAAACAGTAGACAAAATATGCTAGGGGGTAGATAGATTTTATTAGCTACCATAAGAGTTATTTAAAGACTAAGGGTAAGCTATCAAGAAACTTTCAAACAAGAGGTAGGGCCCAGGTCCAGCCATCCTACTGGCATAGGCTCAAACAAGCTAATTATTGCAAGGATAATTTATCATGCATCTTATCTATAAAACACACACAGACATACCATGCACACATATAAGAATAATTAAATAAATCCCAGTCTCTGAAACAAAAAATCAAATACTTATTTCCTAAAATAAAAATAATTATTTCTTTTTAAAAAAGCTATATCCTTTCCAATGCAAAGAAGCCCATTTAAGTTTTTGAAAATCATATTTGAATAAAAAGAGCAAGATGCCTAGTGCTATAATAAGCCAACCTGAAATATAAATCCATTATGCAGACCATAAGACCAAAAAAGCAAAATTCTATATTTTCAGTTCCAAACAAACTCCCAATATTTTTTCTCAAGTCATCTTTCTAAGCAAGTGGTTTTCACAGTGTGATTCTCAGACTATCAGCATCACCTGGACACTTGTTAAAAATGCAAATTCTTGGGCTCCACCTCAATCCTACTGAATCAGAAACTCTAAAGGTAGAGCCTACCACTGTGTGTTAACAAGTTTTCTATATGAATCTGTTATATGCTAAAGTTTGAGAACCAGAGATTACAGTAATAACTTTCAAAAGTATATTTCTACCGAACTTGGGTTCCTGACAATGACAAAGTGCCCTTTCACAGTAATAACCATAAAACTGGACATATGCAGTGACTATTTTCTGATGTTGGACAAGAGACAGCACAGAAATGCAATCCCTAAGTGAAGGAAAACATCCCAGATGAGCCCTTAATATCAGCCTGGAGACAACTTCCTGATTGCAGCACAAAGAGGAGAAACACAGAGAAAGCAGTTATGCAGTCAGAAAGACACAGATTGCAGATCAGAGCGGATGATGCAGCTGGAAGTTAAAGGACAAAATATTGGAGAAGACAGAACTACAAAAAAGGGAGAACCAAAGGCCAGGTGCAGTAGCTCATACCTGTCATCCCAGCACTTTGGGAGGCCAAGGACGGAGGATTGCTTGAGCCCAGGTGTTCCAGACCAGCCTGGACAACACAGTGAAACCTCATCTCTACAAAAAATAAAAATAAAAAACTAGCCAAGTGTGGTGGTGTGCACTTGTGGTCCCAGCTACTCAGGAGGCTGAAGTAGAAGAATCACCTCAGCTTGGGGAGGTCGGGGCTGCAGTGAACCATGATCATGCCATTGCACCACAGCCTGGGCGACACAGCAAGACCCTGTCTCAATAAAGAGGAGGACCTAAAAGTCCATGGGAGGTTATTCACAAGACCTTGACCAAAGGCTGGACTTCCCATGCACCAGGTGAGACTTTTTGAAGCCAAGCAGAGAGTACCTGATATGAGGCTGAGAATGAAACAAAGATACTAGAGGTCATACGTTTCGGGGAGAGGGGAGAGACTAAAGTGGAGAAATCTCAATAACACTTTGACAATTTCACTGAGACACCACAAAGGTCACATTTTTGGGGAAAGAAAGATGCCCCAGATAAAGAATTACTCGTGAACAACCCTAAAAAAGGGGTAAAATCAAGCCTTTGCCAGATGAAGAATTACCAGTAATAAATTCCCTGACAGAATGAACTCTATTCTTTAAAACAAAACAAAAGAAACAAAAACAAAAATAACAAACACTCCCACTATATACTGTATCATTTTGTATGTATAACGTACAAAAGTTTACTAAACATGTAAATAAGCAGATGACTGTGAGCCATACTCAATTTGTAAAGAAGTAGTCAACAGAAATAGATCTTAAGATGACCCAGATGTTGTAATTAGCAGAAAAGGAATGCAAAGTAGTTATGAAAATATGTTCAAAAACTTAATTGAAATGGTCTAAATTAGTGAATAGAGAATTTCAAGAGAGAAATGGAAACTATAAAAGAGAAGCACATAGAAATTCTAGAAGTGAATAGCAAAATATCTTAAATATTGCTGGATGACAATATTATTGCTGTATGACAATATTATTGCTGGATGGCAATACTAGCAGATTGGAGATGGCAGAAAAACAGACGAGTGAATATAAAATTTAAAAACAGATTCATAGAAGTTATTAACCTAAAGAACAGATGATGTTCTGGTGTGATGGTGCACACCTAAAATCCCAGCATTTTGGGAGGCCGAGGCAGGCAGATCACTTAGAGCCAGCAGGTTGAGACTAGCCTGGTCAACATGGTGAAGCCCCATCTCTACTAAAAATGCAAAAATTAACTGGTGTGGTGATGCATGCCTGTAGTCCCAGCTACTTGGGAGGCCAAGGCACAAGGATGGCTTGAACCCGGGAAGCGGAGTTTGCAGTGAGCCGAAATTGCGCCACTGCACTCCAGCCTGGGCGACAGAGCGAGATTCTGTCTCAAAAAACAAACGAACAAACAAACAAACAAAACAAAGATGATATGAGATTTAAATAATAAATAGGGCCTGATAATATCAACTCATCTAACACACGCATATTTGGATTCTGGAAGGAGAGGACACAGACAATGGAGCAGGAATAGTGGTCAAACAAAACCAATGCAGAAAGGATAATGGTTAAAACAAAAAAACTCCCAATTTGGCCAAAAATACCAATTTGCAAGCTTAAGAGTGACAAAACCTGAGCATAATAAACACAAAGGAAATCAAAACTAGGCAAATCATAGACCACTGAAAATGAAAGCTAAAGGGAAACCCTGAAAGCAACCAGAGACAATGCAACACATTAGAGAGAGCAGAGCCGCGATGCGAAAGTGTGCCATCTTCTCACCAGAAACGGTGCAGGCAGGAAGATAATAAAATGACATCCTTAAAACACTAACAGGAAACATAAAAAGCTGTCAACACAGAATTTCAATTCCTACAAAAATACCCTTCAAAAAAGACTAAAACAGAGAAATTTTCAGATAAAAGGAGAATACACACTTATAGATGTATACTGTAAGAAATATTACAAGGAGTATTTCAGGTTGATGCTAAGTGATGCCAGATGGAAACTATGACCTACGTGAAGACCACTAGCAATAGCAAATATGTGGGGAAATATGCAAGGCTAGTTCCGCATTCTAACTGTAATCAATTAATTCAATACACCACAGAATAAGAACAAAAGTAATGTGGTCATCTCAATGGATACAGAAAAAGTATTTGACAAAGTTCAATACACAATGATAAATACTTCAACAAACTAGAAATAGAAGGGAACTCCCTCAGTCTGATAAAAGGCATCTACGAAACACTTAGAGGTAACATCATACTAAGTAATACTTTATTGAATGCTTCATCCCCAAAATCAAGAATAAGGCAAGTGCATTCATTCTTACTGTTTCTAGTCAACATCGTAATGTAGTGCAATTAGGCAAGAGAAAGAAATATTAATAAAAGGCATGAAACATGCAAAAAAAGTCAACATAAAACAATCAATTGTATTAATATATACTGGCAACAAAAAATTCAAAAAATATTAATTTTTTAAAAATTTCCTTTAGAATAGCATTAAAAATGAAGAACTCAGCAAAACATCTGAGAAAATAAGAAAATGTGCAAGATCTATACATTGAAAGCTAGAAAACATTCCTAAGATAAATTAAAAGACGATCCCACATAAGTGAAGAGAACTATCATGCCCACAGGCTGGAAGACTCAATATCATTATTGATACATCATCTCTTCCCAGATTGTTCCATAAATTCAATATAATCCCACTCAAAAAGGTAGGCCTTTTGTTTTGTATCATTTGACAAGCAGATTCTAACATTATAAAGGAATGAAAAATGATCTAGCTTACCCAAAACAATTTTGTAAAAAAAATTAACAAAGTTGGGGAACTGATACTATCTGATTTTTAGAATTACTCCAAAGGCACAGTTATTAGGACAGTGTTGTACTGGCTCACGATAGACACATATATTAATAGAACAAAATACTGTGTATAAACTGATCCACATATATGCAGTCAATCGATTTTCAAACACATTACAAGAGTGTTGAATGAGGAAAGGACAGTCTTTTCAACAAATGGCACTAGAATGCATGAACATCAACATGTGAAAAAAACTGAGCCAGCCGACTTCTACCTCACATCACACATACACAAGAATTTGAAATGATACATAAACAAAACACAAAAGCTGAAACTGTAAAACCCAAGAAGAAAAGATAAAGTCCTCATGACATTGAAATATTCAAGGATTTATTAGCACACAGAAGGCACTACCCCTACAATAATACATTAATAAATTCATTTTTTAACCTGAATCAAAAACTTTTGTTTTTCAAAATCACCAAGAAAAATAAGAAGTGAGCCACAGGCATTTGCAATACATTTATCTGACAAGAGACTTGACAGAAAATTCAATGTAAAAAACGGGCAAAAGACTGAATGAACATTTTGAAAAAAAACTCATGAACG